ATCTCATGATTGGATTTGATTGTTATCCAAACACAATCTATTTGGGGTTCTATATACATATCATGTAATAGACTGTATAACTGATTAAATGACTTCTATTTTTGAGAATGTTTGCCGGGAACATATGGTAGGAACTGTATACCATGCCCTGCGAATCATTATGGAAGGTTCTGTAAAAAGCCATGCAATAACTGCACCCCGTGTGATCCAGTTAAAGGATGTGGTTTTAATAAAAGTAAGCCATTTTCATTATTAGATAGATGTTTATCTTGTTATGAAGAAATTAAAATAATTATTGTTTTTTTTTTTCATCATTGATCTCATACTTTAACCATGGTTATTAAAAAGGACATATCATTTCAGTCTTTTTTATTTAAAGAACTTTATTTTGAATCGAACAGTAAATATAAAGTGGATTTCAATTTTCGGCATATCCTGGAAATCCACGCAAATAGTTAATTAAATATCAGTTGTCTGTCAGATTCTAATTTACATGCGTACAACAAACGTGTTTTTTCTTACGCATTTTTTATTTTAGTAATTTTACAATTCGGATTATGACAAATGCAAAAATTAGTAGAATTCTTTGTGAGCATTTCTAGATTGCAAAACAATGCTTAAATTTGTCATTACTTCTTTACCATATAATTTACATAATAGATATTATCTTATAAAGCACCAGGAGAAATACAGAAAAAGACTACACAATTAAGGAATAACATTGGTGTGGAATTTTTTTCGCAAAAAAATGTGATACGCAGAAAAATACGTTATACGGTATTTTGAAGTGTGTCTTCTGCATATTTTCCTTCCTCTCTTGGGTATGTTACTGTGTAAACACATCTTTCCTCTTTCCTGTTTACACTGTGATTAGATATTTTTATTTTTTCAAAAGTTAAATCCAAGAAAATAGAAAAAAAAATGACTTGTCGCATTTATCAGTACGATCTATAGTATTGCATCATGATAATTCGAACCTGTTTGTCAACAATGAATTTAGAAAATTCATTAAAATTAATCATGATGGTCATAAAAAATTCAATTTAAAATTTTTTGCGAGTTTCCTCGAAAAAGCATATTCTTAACAAAGATGTCCTTTTAAAAGATGTAATCCAATGCTTATAAAAAGGAGCTTGTTATTACATGTATTTATGATATAAAAATATAGTTTAGATAGAATTGCGTACAATTTCATGTATTTTGCGCTTTGTCCATTTATTATATGTTGTACCGTTTTATCATTATAATACGACTTTGTACTTAAATAAAACACATTTCAAGTCATTAGAAAATTGTATTGCAATTGTATGATGGACGATTGTTTAATTATTAGTGCTTAAAATAGTTGATAATTGATAATATAATAATATCAATAAGATTAGATGCTTTTTCTTCCACAATTGCATATTATTTCAATATCAGATCTTACTGTGTGTTTGATTATAACGTCAACCTGTATCTTCGTTTAATTCAAAGTAAAATAACACCAAAGCTGATGTTTATAGTCCGTTTTATATAATAATGCTTGGAGCTATCTATTGTGTTTTAGGTCATCATTATGAAGATGCTACATTTAATTCGTCGTTTCAATTAAATTCTTCTGGTACACTTACAAATGACTCTTCTGGCTCACTCGAAAATGGACACTATCTCAACCAAATCATTGTATGGATCTTCATAGCAAAATGTGTGACTGTGTGTGGAGTTGTCTTTACATGTACTATATGCATAGTTATACTTAATTAGGTATTCACAAATTATTTTGACCTTAATAAACTTCTGACATTTATGTCCACTCTTTAAAAGTGATTTGTAATATGTATTTTCAGCTAAAATCACATTATTTCTTTTTACTTTTCCTCTGTGACAAATTACTAAAAAAAAAAAGGCAAACACTTTTTGGGATAGCTTTTCAGACCAGAAATACTTTAAATACTGGTAACAAATTTATTAGTCACACAATTGATATACCATTGTTATTTGCTAAATTCGTATCTTAATAATTAAATATATTCCTTGTTTTGCAAGTCAGTAAGTCAATATTTCACGGTAATGTACTCATAAGCTGCTATATTTATATGTAAAAACGAAAATATAGACCAAAACTTTGTAACTTTGAAAATATAGAAAAAGAATTTGTTGAACGAATTTTGTATAACAATTTTATATCTCTAATATTTAACATTTTTCTGCTAACAAAACGATGATATAGCCCGTTTTTTTTCCGAAGGTTTGTGTTAAATGTTTTTTCCAACAATTAAGGATTTTTGTTTTACATATATAGGAAAAGAACTTCGAAAGTCAGCGATGACCAAGGTAACGATTGTTCCACTTTAGTAATGTTTTGATATTAACAAACTGTCAAGTTATAATACCATAACACATGAATGTATTTTTTGTTTCATAGCGTTATCAAAATCATCCCAAGGTATAAAGATAAGCAATGCAACCAAAAGTCTAACAAGACAAAACGATCTAGAATTGAACTTGCAGAACCAAAATTACCCAAGGAACGAATATAGTCATCTTAGGAACGTTGGACCCTATGACAAATTAAATCTGGGAATCAGAAAAGACTTCGATGTTTAGAATATCTATTACATGTTGACAATTTTCAAGAGGCAGATTTATAGAATACATGTATATCAACAAATATCATCTAGCGAACACTTATTAAATTTTTGTCTATAATACTTTGTAAAAGTTTGTAACATATTACATTTGTCCATCAGGTTCAAAAATCTGTTATGAGTTAGCATGTGGAGAGTATGAATCTAAGTGAGGTACACAATAGTGGCAAACCATGATTACATTGGAAACATAAAATACACCTCATAATCTGGCACATCTGTTTCATATATTTGTCCAGGCTTTTTGACATCATTGACAGCTGCTTTTTCAATAAAAATGGAACTTGTAAATATAATTACCTTGTCATTGGTCAATTGCAAATTTATTTTGTTAAAAAGCATTCTGATTGTACACACAAGTATTCTGAAGTTGATTTTAAAAAGATGCTTGAGTTTCTGATTGACAATATCTATGTAGTTTTTGGAGATCAGGTCTTCCAACAATCTATTGGAATCCCATGGGTACCAATTGCGCCCTGTTATTAGCAGACCTATTTTTGTATTCATATGAAGCAGAATTTATTTAAAACCTACATGAAAAGAAGAAAACACTTGCTGTGGCCTTCAACTCGACATTTCGATATATATACAACAAGACGTATTACCAATTAACAATTCCTACTTCCATTCATATGTCAATGCGATATATCCCAGCGAACTTGAAATTAAAGATACCACAGAGTCTGACACATCTGTTTCATATTTAGATATTTTACTAGAAAAAGACCTTAATTGTAACCTGACAACAAAGCTTTATGATAAACGTGATGACTTCAACTTTTCAATCGTTAACTTCCCTTACTTACGTAGCAATATATACCCTTATCACCTGCATATGGGGTTTATGTCTCTCAGTTGATTCGATACGTAAGAGCATGCTCTACGTATGAACAATTTCTAAAACGAGGCAAGCTATTGGCAAACAATTTGATGAAACAAGGTTACAAGCAGTATCGTTTGAAGTCATCATTTCGCAAGTTTTATGGTCGATACTATGACCTTGTTAGCACATACAACCTGAGCACAGTGAAAATTCAATTGAATTAACAGTCGAATATCTTAGATATGGGGTAACCCATATATATTCTTGTTTACGTCACACTTCACTCTTCAATATAGGCGGAGTCAATTATGTCTTATTTGTTTTTGGTGGAGTTTGAAAGTAACGGAATTAACCGAATAAGCGGAATTTATCTCAAAATGTTATCATTTTCATTGCAAGGGCTGAAGTCAGAACAATAAAGATACGTTCTATGAAAGTTAAAGTGTTATGAAACATTCATTGGCTGTATTCTCGGACAACATGCGTTTTGCCAAACCAAACAATTTGCCTTTTTCCTCACAGCTTCAGGTAAAAAGACTGGTTCTTGGAACCGATAAAAAAGCATGATGCCTTCAAACCCAGTAAATAAACGTACAATACAGTAAAACACGCTTATGGCGAACATGCTTATATATAATGAAATGACGCTTTTAGCAAAGTGATTTTCATTCCCGATGAGGGCCGTTCAATAATTAATGCAAAAGGTCATCAACAAATAAGAAACGCACAAAAAGCAGTTCCTCTTTAGACCTTATCCCTCAAAGTATTCCCATTTAACCTTTACACATGAATAGCACTCACTACGACAGGTCTAAAATAGTCGCGTCTTCTGTTGATCGTTTTCTTTAGTTTTTTAAATAAAAAAAATGTTATATTAACTAGGAAATGATGGCTAAGCTCTGTAAACGTTCCTTTCTTTTAAATTTCCTTTACATCTCTATGCCTATTTGGCAGATAACTTTTTAATCAGTTTTAAGCTTAGTGAAGTGACCATGCTTTTTTTTTTTAAAAAATAAACTCCTTTGCGATAATGAAAAGAAAAAAAACGGCCCCCTGCGCACCCCCTCCCCCCGGTTCCTACGGCCATGAATTAATTGCTTCTATATTTATTATGATAAAGATAAGTTGCATTACTTATTGAACGACCCTCGTATATAGCACAATTAAGAGATCTACGAATTATGCTTATCTGGAAACAAAATTGTTTGCCCTTGACACTTTGTTATAGGCGTGCTTTACTGTATTTTATTTATACCCCTATATTAAAAAGCTTCCTTATTTTGGAGAAGTTATGTTAAAAATGCGTGCATATATAGCTGCTAAATATCATGTGAGGAAGTATTTTAAACTATGTTTAATATATATATCTTTACTTAACGACATGCATGTTTATCAAGTAATATAATTATTATTTTAAAGGAAGTCAGGGAAAGGATGGAAAAATATTATGTACATGTACTTCTGCGTTGTATTCTTTCACTATGTGCTATACATGCACAGAAATGTTTAAATAGTATATGAAATGTGTAAATTCTTCATTCATAGTCATGAAATATTATTTTTTCTTGATCGTACTATCAAAAGAAATAAATCCACTTTCAGGGAATACAGTGGGAATTTGTTCGAATAAGTCTATCGGGTAAGCAAGTATTTATTTATAGCAGTGTTGAATTATGAGTTCTTGAAACTTAAAACCCACATATACAATGTTATCACATTGTTTCGAGTTAGATAGAGAAGAAACATACGAAAGCCTATTAGGATCAAACTGCGGTAAAAAAAAAATTAAAAGGCGTTAAAACGCCTTTTCAAAAGGCGTTATTACGCGAAAAAAGGCATAATAACGCCTTTTGAAAAGGCGTTATACCGCGGAAAAAGGCGTAATAAAGCAAATAAAGGCGTAATTACGCCTTTCCAAAAGGCGTTATAACCCGTTATTATGCCTTTTAAAAAGGCGTTATTACGCGTTTCCAATCGGCATTATTACACCTCTTATTTTTCAATACATGACTTACTTAGCCCACCCTGGGGGCTGATTATAATTAGATTTCCAGGAAAAAAGATTTTTAAAGTGTAAAATATTTTCAGTGTTAAACAAACTTAGTCCTTCTCTGATGCCAGACACCTTTACCAAGGTGCATGGATTTCAGAAATTTGGTTGAAGGCTAATTGCTCATTATACCTATGCAAATAGTTTGCCTGTTTTTTTTTCCAAGAGGAGAGAAAAATATTTCAAGTTTGACATGAATTTTTAATACATGGCTAGGAAAGCCCATAGCTGGCTCTGCCTATATCCTAGATTTTCAAAAGTAGAGTGTTGACTTCTCTTAATACGCATGCAAACAGCTGTCTGCAAGATGTGCAGGGATATATAAAATACTATAATTTATAATGTAATATTCAATATTAAAACTATAATCTAATTATTGCATAAATAAAGGTGGCTTTGGTTCAATCTTTCATATATTTATTATTTTAAAATAACGCCTTTCCATTTTTGGATATAACTCCTTTTCAAACAAACAGGCCGGTAGTACGAATGCGAGTGGGGGGTGCCCCCTCCCCCCCCCCCCCCCCCACTTTTTGGGAGAATAGTCTTGCTATAGTTTAAATATAAAAAATCATTTATTGATTGCTTGGTCCCTTAACATTTTGTTGCAGTATGGTTAAACTCGGGCAAGTCATTGCATTTAAAAAAAGTTTCCCCTTTAGGCAGTTTATTTTTTTTTTTTTGGGGGGGGGGTTCTTGTTTTTTTTGTTTGCTTGTCAATTTTATGGGAGGTTGCCCCCCCCCCCTTCAAAATCACGGGCCTGTCAAAGACATAATAATGGCTCTTCAAAAGGCATAATAACGCCTTTTAAAAAGGCGTAATAACGCCTTTTGAAAAGGCGTAATAACGCCTTTTAGAAAGGCGTAATAATGCCTTTTGGAAAGGCGTAATAATGCCTTTTTCGCTTTATAACACCTTTTGAAAGCCTTTTAAATATTTTTTTTACCGTAGTTTGATCCTAATAGGCTTTCGTAGAAACATGCCTGTTCACTTACAACATATTTTCTTTTACCTGCATCTATAGTTTTTGTATATATTCAATGAGATGTTTAGATTTTACAAAATACTTATTTTAAAGAGAACCTCTGGAATGCTGTGTAAACTATCGCCAAATTGGTGAGGCTTGTGAAGGTATGTATTTTATCTACAACAATTTAAATTTAAAACAGGTGATTTTTTTTCTTCAAAATATTACCATGTCTAGATCTAATTCTATATACAAAATCTAAAATTGCCACACTGTAACTAATAATTACATCCTATATTAATATTCCAGATAACTGACATTGTTAAAAGGCTATAACTCATCTACATGTTTAAATTTTTTCAAAGTCCTGAAATCCCAACAACTGCATATATGAATCTTTTAGATTGTCTTTTACACATTCAACTAGAGTTGCATATTTTCAAAACCTTTCGTTAACGAAAGAAATGCTAAGTCAATTACTTCTCCTTCCTGTTGAGCATATCCTGTTCTCGAAATGTAGATCATCTTGTCTGATTTTTTTTTCAAATTCCGAGCTGACTTAACTACGATTTGATTTTCATCTATAATGCTGAAAAATATTGCAAATTAGTACTATTAGAGAAAATGCTACAGAGAAAACATTTACAAAACTATCTACTTATCAACATATAGTGATGCATTATTCTTCAGAGAAGCTCTTTTCACACTGGTATCAGAAGATTAATCAAGTTCAGTGACAGTATTTCAAGAAAAAAAATGTTTTATGAAATATGATCTTACTAGATGAAATCCCACGCAAGCGCGAGGAATTTAATTTTTACCACTGCTGACAGAATAATTCTAGAAACACATCATAGTTTCTACTGATATTTAATTACAGGCATATAGCAGGAAGAAAAAAAAACTTTATTCAAAATCCCGCAGTTGATTTGGGAGCAGAAGTATATATACCCCCTCTCCGTCTTTTTTCTAACTTTAAAGTCTCAATTTCACTAATTAATTGACGTTTTCTTTTTACATACATGTTAGCAACTTTATTTTGATACCTGATGTAATATTTTATACGTATTCTATTTCGAGGGTGCTGTTTCCATTTCCTTCAAAGATAAAAGAAATGAATGTGCACATTTTACGTGAATTTGGCAGCACATTTTTTTTTTGGGGGGGGGGGTGTTGAAAATTAGTTTTTCACACCTTAAATTATGTATAGTCCCAATTTTTAATACAAAAGACTGTATGCAGAAAAAGTGATAATAGTGTAATTTTATAATAGCTCATTCATCCATGAAACCATATTCATCATGTTCGTTAATTAAATTTTATCTTTTGCAAGTTTATTTCAATTTGTACTTCGGGTTCCTTGTCACGATACTGTCAGTGACGAATATACACATTTTTCTGGTTTACTGGTAAATTTGTGATAGTGTTTGTGATATCTCGTATGTTTACTTTTTGAAACCATTTTCACCTCTTGCATATTTATACATCATTTTCAGTCCAGAATTCTAAACAAAAAGGAAAATGGAGAAAAAAATGATGTTGATAATGCAACAATATTAATGGAACGAAAACGTGTTATCGTATAAGGATACACATGATGTTCTGATATGCATCTTAAGGGGAAAAAACAACATGAAATATTAGCCTACAATATTGTTTAATATCATTTCTGATTCAAAGCAAAACTTTAAAAGATTCTCTTTCAGATCTTATAAACAACAATTATTAGAATAATAATTGTATTTATGTATTTAATGCGGTAATTTATTTAGAGCTTTTTGGTAGGATTTTATGTTTGTAAATTGTGAAAATTCTTAGATCCACGCCCTGGCTGATGTATCAATAGCTTTTAGCCAATGATGGTGTAAGGTCACGTGGTCAGAACAGCGAGGCATTCAGTTGTATTTTGATACCCGCACGCTGACCACCGCTTACACGAGGCACGTCTATATTGAAGACCCACCTCCACCCCAGCATTCCTACCCCTTAATATGGTTATTAAGGTGTCATGTAAAATTATATTTAGGCCTATTTTGTTTTAATGTGCCATCTTTTTGCTAACTTGGCCTATTCTGTTTTTGATGTGCCATCTTTTTGCTAACTTTTTCTTATGATGTTTTGGCATATTTTGTTTTGATGTGCCATCTTTTTGCCAACTTTTTCTTATGATGTTTTGTTTGTCTTGTTTTGGCCTATTTTGTTTTGATGTGCCATCTTTTTGCTAACTTTTTCTTATGATGTTTTGTTTGTCTTGTTTTACAGGTACTTTTTTCTAGTAATTTTTGGGGGATCAGACATTATCATATTTTACGTAACTGATAACCAAAACTTGTGAATCTGATCCCCCTCTTGTGTGTTAAATTGTTTATGTTTATACCGTCATTTTAATAAATGACATTATTCATCTCTATGAAAGTGCTTTATTTGACTTGTACAAAATTAGCAAAAACTAGCTGCGGTGAGCTTGCCTATAAGCATTAGAAGACATAAAAACAATTCTTTATATACATTTTCGTATCAAAAAAAAAACAGTCACAAAACTATCCAGCAAGGCCAGCGAGTTTGTTTCAATTCGGTCGAAGACAATGTAGGTGCTTAAAATCAATGCAGCACTTTTAAAGCGTACTGTGAAGAAATCAACGGGATATAGACAAATACAATGTACCAATAGATATCTTTTTTAAACTGAATTTATTTTTGTTAAGCTATTATAGTACCATATGACATTTATATTCATTTAAAGAACATAGTATACCCACTCTGTATTGAATTTGAGTGATAAATTGTTTCTACATAACTTCTAGTTTCTGGGGGAAAAACTGCTGTTTTCTAGAGAATTCGTATTTTATTAGTTGAAATTTCAAGTTATTTGGCTCAAGTTGAAATATGTGTGACCTATATCAAGTATTTTATGTATTTATTAAGTAATGCTCTCGATTTCTGGAAAGCAGCTGCACTTTTCAAGTAAAGAAATATTTCCTTTATGTAACTATATTCAAAATATGATCAAGATCTATAAAGTGTATGCCCTTGCAAAAATTCGATTTAATGAGGTACTTCGATATTGAACACGCCAACATTGTACATTAAACACGATATAATTAATTCCATACATTCTTTCGACAGTTTTAAGGTAATCACATTTAACAAAGGTGTAACATTGGTATTAATAGTCTATCTATCAGTCTGTAAATGATATCCAGTTAAATAATAAAATTGAATTTGTACTGTAAAACAATATCTTGATCTGCCTTTCACTGATTATGAAATGCGCCAAATTTTGCCAAGTGTTTTGCGATCTGTGACTTGTTTTTACTCTAAAGTGTGAAATTTAACACGCCACAAAAATGAATGCCTTAGTTAGTTTATTTAATGTTCTTCATTAATCATATGCAGATTAAAATAGCAATTTATTTCGTTTTCTGTTATTGCGAAAAAAATGCTTTTTTGTGATTTCACAGTAAATATTTTCCAATGTAAAAAGGTTCCGCTCCTTTTATGTAGCCTTAACAGTGCTGCGAAGCGCAGGGTCTAATATCACCTCCCTCAAAAAGAAAAAAAAGAAAAAGAAAGAAAAGAAAAGAAAACTCAGTACGTTAACAATTTTTATGAATCCGGTATAATTAGAAATTAACATACATTTTTCCATCTCATCAAAAAACAGTCCCAATTCAGAAATTATATTATGTCTTCCGTGTTTTGATGTAAACCTGAACTGTTATGGCACCTGTAATTTAACTAATGTATAATTTGTGTAATTGATACCCAGCTGTTCTTTTGATTTGAAGAATGTTCGCTGGGAACGCATGGTCCGAACTGTACAACTCCGTGTCCCCATGGTTTTTATGGAAGGTTTTGTGGAGAGACATGTAAACAGTGTGGACTGTGTGACCCAGTTATAGGATGTGTTGAACATCAAAGTAAGCCATATTGCATTTTACAAATACATTACGTATATTAATTACCGTTTTAAATTGACAAATGTATCATCGTCATTAAAGTCGTTGGAAAAAGTATACTATAGAATGACATATTTTCGTGGTTTCAACATTACTTGGTTTAAGGGAAAAAAAGTGGTTGTGAGGTTCTCATTTATTTGTTAACTACTGAAAATTTCACATTTCATGACGCAAAAAAATCATGGGTCCCTTCATACGACGAAAAAGATGAAAATTAAACACCCACGGAAATTTGTGATTTCACAGCATCATATTTTTAAAGTTTCTATTTTAAACAGGATATTTCCATGAGAGTCGGATTCGTAACTTTAGTTAAACAATAGTTAAACAATTTAAGGACTTCCTTTCTTTGCTGCAAATATCAAACATTCCAAACAAAAGTATGATTCACTGTCATGTGCCCGTCAGACTAGTCGGTAAAGCTTTATATGTATAAATTGATATAAAGTTACGATATATCTAGTTGAAGCGCACCACCTCATTTTCTTTCGGGACCTCATATTTAGATAAATGCATTTTTGGTGATACTATAGTATTTTTCCCAATTCCTAAACTTTTATTAAGGAAACTTTCAAGAAATAAAACTACATGCTTTTGTTTTATGTTAATTGTTATGCAGAGTTTTAAGAGTATTATTAGCTTTTTTTATGAATGAAAATTACGAGACAGTACTAACTTACAAACTTTTTGCTTTATTTCTTCTAGATAATACAGTTAAGTCTCTTTATTTAATAAATTATTTTCATTTAGATGCTACCGGTAAAACCACGAATAGAAATGATTATAGCAAGGGTGTGAACTGGTTGACTATAGCAATGTCGGTGACTGGGAGCTGTTTAGTTAGTTTACCATTTGGCATGTTTACTTATTTTAAACGAAGGTATGTATTCATTTTCAGTTCATGCATAAAATGGTCCTGTATAAGGACCAATTTATTTTCATCCTATGTCTGACATCAGACCTTTATATCAAGTAGAGAAATCGGGCTTTTGTAAAATTGTGTTCTTGAATTTAACAGAAAACTAATGCTCTTGTGTATATTCAGCAATGTATAAGCACAATCTCATCAGTTCCAATAATTAACATATTTTATCAATTGAATTCATACAGTTTTAAAATTCGGGTTGTGTTGATCGAAATTTTGAAGATAGAAGCTTGAAATACAGTCGTTTTAAATGACATACAAAAAATGTTTCAGTTTTTGGAATTTAACAGGGTCAGATAAGATCCTTAGATTACCTTTCTCTTTTTCCTTTGAAGTAATTTCGACAATTAAATTGAGTTCGTTCTTCTTAAACAGAATTCGGAAATCTACATGTAAAAGATATCACGAAAATAAAGGTAACATAAATATTTTTTTAATCTGAAGGGAATTAATTCGCTAACTCTCGACACAAGTATTTAATGCAAGACTTAGTGCATTACGTATTGATTTATTACAGCTCCAACGACACAGATAGATAGTTCAGTCAATGATAGTACACGAGAAATTAAAGCAACGGAGTACCAAACGGAACAAATTGCTTCCTGTCAAGGATATGAACATTATGTGGACATTGGCGATAATTATGTAACCCTCAACCTGAAAGCTGGGAAAGACAATGATGTTCAATAATTGAATATTGCTTGTAAAGACACAATATTAAAATACCTGTGGGTCTATGTACTCTTTTGGCCAATGATTTTTCAACCTTAATGAGAATAAGAAAGAATGTTGCATGGCGTCTTTCATCAAAACCAATAAGCCATTGTTTTTCTACTGATTAATGTCCAGATAACTCTCTTTACATAGGGCTCGGGGGGGGGGGGGGGGGGGTGCTGTACCTTACTGGTTGATAGAAGAAGGGGCGGATATGTTTTGTTTTTGTTTTATCTTCAGCTCGATCACTGTTCGTCATCTTCACATTAAATTACAATCTGTTTATTCTTATGCGTTTTTTCCCAATCTAGCTTTTCTTGTTATAGTAGGCTCTTTTTCAATTTAGAGCATACATGAATAGAAGTATCTTAGTTCGTCAGTACTCAAATTTGTACTGATAGAGATATGTTTTAGAATGCTCGCACGAAAGCCCTGTAAATTAAGAATTTAAAATTAATATTGATATATTTATGAAAAGGTAGAATTAAGGCATTGAATGCATTTCAGTTTTTTTTTTCTGCTTCGATTTAGCTACAATGCAATAGCTTGTCATTATGTTTTATCGGTGTGGGTTTAATAAAATCTTCCAGAAAACAATTGCTACTCCAGTCTATTATGTATGCTGTAATCTAGGGTAGCGTCATAAAATGAGTTGAAGTTTTGTCTTGTATTAGAATATACAGATGTTTTACCAATTTAATTTTACATATCTCAATTGTACAATGATAAGATATAAGTTTGCTTTGTTTAAATTTGAACGAAATACAACACAGTGAAGTTTCAACGGACGTAATTCAGCTATCAAGCAACTTTCTTTTTTCCATTATATTTGACATGCAGACATTTACAGCTTAAGACACAATTTTAATGGAGTCCACTTTGACTTGGCATGTAAATAGAAGTGCTATGAAAATTTATTACATGTGCTGCTGAATGTATCTTTTCCATAACATCTATAGAATTCAATTTACAATAACCCACGAAGTTCTATAAAAAGAAATATCACATAGATTTCTTAAGAGTATTAAGATGGGATTATTTTGAAATGCTGCGAAAGTTCGAAGAGATTGGAAAACTATGAACCAATTCAAAAATAATTCCATGGAAAATAACGGAAAAAATGAATGAATAATAAAAATAATTCAAAGAAAGATAATCAAAGCAAGGCAGAAGTTTTTACACTACATCAAACTCTCCAGAATTATTGTTTTTTCAGATTAGAAATAAATGTTTTAACAATGTATTTTAATATCAAGTTCTCAACATACATGTATTTGTAAGTGATATTTTATATGTGATTCTTTCAGGTACTTTTTTGCATGTACATTCAAACAATAAACCATTTTATGAATCAACAGAATTTATTTTATGAATTTCAGATACAGAACCCAAATAGAACCGTGTTTAATTATCATAATCCACGTTCTCACTTAACATCATTTTATTAACTGTTTCTTTCCATTCAAATTCTTTCTTTATCATAAGAGTTATAGCGACAAATACTTTCACTCTCTAATTTAAAATCATCTTGGACACTGAAGGATTTTTATCGCTAGTTTTTAATTGTAAGAAAGTTGGTAAAACATCTTCGTCTTTTTTTTTCATTTTCTCATTCTCTACCGATCCTGATGAATTTATGACATGATAAGGTTACATGGAAATTATTGCCTAACAGCATTGATCTTATGAATCAATGGATTGGATCACTTAGCAAAATCTGTTAGATTAAAGAAATCAAATAGGAATCAACACATCGATATCATATGCACAGTATTACAAAATCAAAATTTAAATCCGTCTAGTTCATGATAATATCACACTACACAATTTTTGATTTAAAGTACAATAAATCAGAAAGATTTCCATAAATAAATTTTTAAAAAAATTTAGATGATTTAGAAGAGGCTTATTTTAGAAAACGGAACAGAATGTTAAATAGAAGAAACGATGTGCTTTTGTAGAAAGTGAGGAAAATTATTTAAGATACCATTGAAAAAAAAGAATGAGCAATTGATTCTTTCCAGGAAGACATTAAAAATAAGTAATATCCCCGAGAGTGTGGTTGGTGCAAGTTACATTCAAATAAAATTCGGAGATATTTTCTTCAAATTTAAGTTCTGGCATTTATTGTTAGTTGGAATTCACATTTCATCGTTTATTGGAACAATTACAAAGTTTCAGCTTTTGTTTCGGTGACATGGAATAAATATTTCATTGCATTTTGAAACACGTTGGATTCATTGCTTAAAATATTCTTTTGTTTCTTTCTTGTGTTTTTTTATCCAATAAATATCTGTAGCCGTCCAATAAAATGGACAGATTTTTAAAATTTATTTGACAATTACAAACAACTTATTGGACTATCTTGGGTCCTTCAAGAAATAGAAGGTATTTAAAGAGAAAAGGATGATGTCATACATGTGCTTTTTTTTAAAAAAAAATTACCTGACACACAAAACATAATTTTGAAGTACTTACACAATTGATTAAAATTATTCCTCTTTAATATTTATCAGTGTATTCTCTCCTTCGGAAAAATGTAAAGACAAGACAAAACTTTATTAAACTTTATTAAAAAACAATCAATAAATAGTCTAATGGTGACACAATAATTCATACCTTTGTTGTAAGAAGAGTAAACAATACCTCACTTACAAAAAAGGATAGACGGCATCACGAAGAAAAAGATTAAATCTTCAAGAGGAAGTAATTAAGATAATGAGGACTTCATCAAGGCATTTATTTTGGAAAAGCATCAGCTGGGAAAATCTTGTTTCTGTTAAGTTCACTATCATGAATATATAGGGCTAACGTAGGAGTTAAACACACTATGTACAAATTCTTGACAACTAACCACCTCTTGGAAAATATTTTAAGTAAAATAAAACTTTCATTTTCAGATTATAGGGAAGAAAAAAAATGTTCTCTCTACTATCAGAATGAAAATTAGAAAATGTCAGCAGATATATTGCAAAACAACCAAAATGACTTCTACTTTAGGGTGAAGATTTTGATAATGCAACATTAGAGATGCTGAAAATCTCAATGTAACAATTTTTTATGGAAAACGTGCTCAGTTTCATTAATTATACTAAAATACACATCTGCATTTGGGTTAAAAATGTTTATTTTCGTCAATAAAAAAATTGGATAATGTAAAAAGTGGAAAACGGAAAATATGATATCGATATTAGTTATAAGTTGACAAATAATCAATCATGCATGTAAGAGAAACGATACGAATTCTACATAATGTTTGAATTAAAAAAAGAGTTATAAAAGTAACTAAAAATATTTATATAAACATGTATATATTTTTGATATATTTACGTACATGTATATATAAACAACAATAAAAAATGATTGTTTAACGGATTCCAAAAGATTATAGAAAAAATAATATATATATAAGAATTTATTTCCCAATGTAGGCGGGGCCAATTATATCTTATTTGCAATATTTGCTGTTTGATAGAAGAGAAATAAACCAAGTAAAGTAAGTAAACGGAATTTGAATCAAAATGTTGTCGTTTTCATTGCAATGATTGAAGTCAAAACAATTAAAACTCGTTGTAGTTAAAAAAAAGTTGAATATTGTAAAAATAAAAAAAAATAAAAAAAAAAAATAAAAAAAAAATAGGCGAAGATAACGAGCAGTGATCGATCAAAAAAAGAACAAAAACATATAAGCAATACAAATTTGTGAGCATGGCGTAAGACACGGACTCCTAGTAATTCCAAAGGTGGGATCATATGCCTAAGAGGAGTAAGCATCTCCCGTTGACCGGTCACAACCACCGTGAGCCCTATGTACATGTATTGATCAAGTAGACGAGACATACCGTTGTGTTCTTGGACAACATGCACTTCGCCGATCCCTCGAATGAAAATATTTGCCTTCGGCTTAACAGCCTCAGGCAAACAGTTTGGTTCTTGAGACCGACAAAACACATGATGTCATCAAATGCAGTAAAAAAAAAAATGTGCAATATTTTATTAATACCCTTATATGATAAACTTCCTTGATTCCGGATATAGTTATAAATACATATACAGCTGCCAGTTATCATGTCGGAAGTGTTTTCAAATGTCTAAAAGCAAGATTATACTTGAATATTTAAAAAATAATAAATGGCATACATCACGAGAAGTGGTTAAAATAGATCTAGGAAATTATATCAAAATATCCTGTACAAGAACTTCTGCGTTCACACATGCAGAAAAAAAAAACTTTAAATTTCATAATAAAAGTGTAAATTATTCATTTATAGTCATGAAATTTTGCATTATCCTGGCTGTACTATCGAGGGGAATAAATTTACTTTCAGGGAATGTAATAGGAATTTGTTCGAATACATCCATCGGGTAGGCTAATGTTAATGTTTATCTGTCTATTTTTACTTGTACATATTTTACAGATAATATGTCAAAGGGGTTGGGCAAAAGTTGCAAAAACTTAGGTAGTAACTCCTGATATATAATGCTATCAAATTGTCAGAAAAAGAAAGTATGTTAAATCACAACAAAAATAAAGTTAACTTGCATCCATAGTTGTAAAATTATACAATGAGATAATTGAAATTTACATAATATTTATGCTATAGTGAACCTGTCGATTGCTGTGAAAACTATCGCAAAGTTGGTGAGGCTTGTGAAGGTATGATATGTTATTCAAGACAACTTGCTATTTAAAAGCAGGTGATATCTCTAATGTATTGCCGTGCCTTTTTCTTTCTTTTTTTTTTTAATCTCTAAAATGACAGCACCGTAAGTACATGTAACAGTTACATGGTCCTGTTATATTGTAGACAACTGACACTGTTCAAAGACTCTAACTCATGTACTTGAAATGTTTTCATTGTTATGAAATTGCTCTAACTGTATACATAATTCTTTACAGATAATAGTTATCATAGAGTTGGTGTTTCTTAATTTCTCGTTAAAGAAATAAATGCTTATTTAATTAAAATGAAATCTAATGTCTTTTTCCTGTTGATCATGTCCCCTTCTCTTAATGCTGATCATCTCGTAAGATATTTTTCATGTATTTTTCGAAATTCAGAGCTAAATATGTACATATTACAATATTTTTCTGTTATGCTAAAAAAGAGCTGCACAATTTTAGAGAAGATGTTGCAGAGAAAACTTTGGAAATTTCAATTTTTTTATTTCAACATTTAGATAGATATAATTCTACAGAAATGCTTTCTATTGTGAATAAAAAGACGTATTTCCTTCACATTGGCATCAGAAGAATAATTCAATTCAGCACAAATATCTTAAGAAAATTATTATATATTGAAATTTTTATCACGATCTTATACTGTGAGATGAAATCAATTTATCAATTTCTGTCAAAGTAACTATAATATCCAAGTTTAATGTAAAACCATTTTTATCTCTTGCATAACCATATTTCTTCTTAGTCCAGAGAGTTATCCTCAAAACATTAACTTTTCGGGGAGAAAAAAAATGATATTGATAATGCAACAATATAACGAAAACGTGTTACTGTATGAGGATGCACATTATGTTCTGACATTCATCTTAGGATAAAATGTGAAATATTCGCCTACAATATCGAAAATGTTTTGTTTTTTTTTTATACAGGTTGTCCTATATTACTGAATTTTACTACATAGGCTTTACTAAAAAAGCACAACTTGCAGTAGGCGTTATTAATTCGAAATGACAAGGTGAAGAAAACGAACAGTGATCGATCTCATAAAAATCAATAATCAAAACAAATTTATGAGCAGGGCATAAAACGCGGACCCATGAAAATTCCAGAGGTGGGATCGGGTGCCTGGGAGGAGTAAACATCCCTTGTTCTCCGGTCACACCTGCCGTGAGTCCTATTTATAGATTAGGTACACGGAACATTCCATAGTCAATTTATCTGTCAATAGCCTGCATCGGTTTAAAATTGATCGTACTTGAAGCATTCTTTTGAGTATCGAATAAGTTGGAAGATGTAAACACCATATGCAAGTGAAAGTGTTATATAACTACATAAATAAGGAAAATCTGATGTCATCATCTGAAGTCATACAATTTAGTTGTTAGTTTGCCTTTATGTCTATAGTTAGTAAAACATCCAAATACAAAAATCGATGTGGTAGACTATGTGGTGCTTTTATCTCAAGTTCACAGGGACATATCGAGTATGAATCTAAGTGACAATCGTTAATTGATAATACGTCGTCGATATATCTAAATATCGAGTTGAAGGCCACCGCAAGTTTTTTTTTCAAAATGAACTTTAGAGAGATTCCTTTTCAGATTTTGTATAACTATTCTTAATTTGGTCGATCCAATACCCTTCATAGCAAAAACGAAATATCATTAAGTCGAATCTTAACCGACGTTTTTCATACTAATTAGGCCATTATTGGATTTTTCCCTTTGCCGATCTTGACAAGAAAAAACGATGTGTGACCCAAAAATAGGTAATGTTTACTTCTCAATGGCACATAATCCCACCACTCATTTTGTAGAGGTCCGTGCTCTAAATCTGCATTGTTCCAATGAACTTTTGCACTTGATTACTGTTCAACAGAAAAAATATCAATATTGACTGAGGCGATCTATTATATAATATAGTTAGGATTCGAATAAATAAAACGTTAAAGGCTGCATGACGACAGCATTTTTATTATCACTGATTATCGAATCTCTGTGGCAGAAAGATTAAAAAATGTCCACATTACAATTTAATTTCTATGATTCCTTTCGTAGTGTGTGGGAAATCATTTACGTTGAAGTGTTTGGATAAAAATCCGACGGTAAGCTTGTCTAATGTTTTCCTTGCTCGAATACAAATCTTGCTTCAGCCGTTGCAACCGCTCTTTAGAACATTAATTGAACTGTTGTACAATTGTGTGTGACGTCTCAATCACCACTGCACACGCACTGGCACTCCTGTTTATACGACCTTAAATCCAGTGAATATGTTGTGTTTACGCTATGAACCGTTTACGTTTGTATCGATTATATAGGGTCTATCAATAGACTATATGATAATATATGTTATGACACCTGTAATGCAACTAAAGTATGATGGCTAACAGCTGCTCTTTTGATTTGAAGAATGTTTACCGGGAACATTTGGTTTGAACTGTACTGGATGTCCGCCAGGTTTTTATGGAAGGTTTTGCAGAGAGTCATGTAAACAGTGTCCTTGGTGTGATCCAGTTAAAGGATGTGTAAATGAAAGTAAGCAATATTTCATTTTACTGAGAATAATTATATATTGTTTGGTTTTAAAGTGACAAAAGAAGTATCGTCATTAAACCATTTAAAAAAGGATATATATTTCAAGCCTTTTCTATTTTATGCAGCATACTTTGAAGAGACCCGATGTAAAGATGAATAATGATCCCCGGGGATCACTTTCGAATTCAAAAATAAACCTCTGTTCATTTTCAACGTCAAAAATGATACCTGTTCATAATTTGATGTCAAACAATGACCCTGTAGAAAAAGTTTCATTACTCTTACATTTTGTACACGTATACCCGACTTCCAGAAAAAGACTCCCCTTTAAATAAAAACCCATTGTAGATTTTATTGTAAATATATTTTTAATTTTTGGTAAAAAAAAAAAAAAAAAAAAAAAAAAAAAGAATTATAAATCAAAAGGTCTGTGGGAAAAAATAACACCTGAGATATGTTGAGGAATCAACGATGATACGTTGGTCTCATTAAATCTTTCGAATAACATGTTGCTCCGTGATCGGAAGCTCGTGGGTTTTAAACTCCGGCCTCGACTGACCTTAGTCGATAAAACAAATGATAGCAACTGTTCCTTCGCTAGGCACTCGGCACTTTTAAGTAAAAGTTGCAGGTGTTTTGGTTGAGACGTTGAAAACCATGTAACTGTGTTACGACAGGCGTTGGCACGGTAAAGCTCCTTCACTGCTCTGAGTGCCAAGTATACAGGACTAAATTTGAAGAATTTCACCTGTATATGGTAACGTCTGTATATATGAGTCTTTTATGACAAATTGACAGCATTTATCAATTACATTCTACACTATATGGAATTTCTTTATATTGATTTGATAATTGTGTCTTTGTTTTAAAAGATTTGAATTGTTCATAATGTTTTTCTATGTTTAATCAAGTTGCGTCTGAGGGCATGTTTTTAAGTTAATGATTTACAGTGAACAATCATGTAATTTTCGGAATTATTATAGCAGAAGTTTCTAAAAATTGAATTTTGTTTATGTTTATGTTTCAGGACTTTTGTTAAGTTTTCATTTAACCGAAAGAACAAACTATGTAGTATGTACGGTAAAGAAAAATTGATATGCAAGAAAATTCACATAATAAAACTTTTATGAAACTCCAGAAACGGCAAAGGAACTTTATTTTCTTCCTCGCTTCTCTCCTTCGTAAATAAAAATTTTCTTGACTAATTCGAGATTAAATAAGAAGACATGATGGGATTGTTGCTTTCATTACACAAACGCAAGTGCTTTTAATTGCATATACGTACTTGTATGCATACGAGGGTTGTTAGAAAAGTTCGTGGACATATTGATTTGCGGAAAATACATTGTGTACTTTGAAGAATGACCTATGTCTAATTAAATTCTTATCTTTTGTTTATTAGTATGTAAAATATCAGGTCCATTTACTAAAAGTTTGAAAACAAAGAATGATATTTACTGTGCAGTCATACGATTCTCGGAGAAATCACTTGACGTTTTATGACGTTAGATGACGCGACAACCTGATTCAAGACCTGATAAGCTTTTTTCACAGTTCTAAATATCTTTCATTTCTAAGGACTTTTCATGTTTTTTCTTACTTAAAAATAGAATAACTATATCAAGACATATTATATTTTTTTCTAAAATATCTTTTGTGGCATATCGGATATTATAAACAATGTTGAGGCAGTTAAGCGATCAGGTGTGAGAAAAAATGCAAAATCGATGGGTGCAACATCCATAAGCAGGATATTGGGGGTATCCCAGGAGTTGATAATCAGAAATTTCAGTCCTTGCATTCTTACAAAGTTGGTACTTGATACTTGTAGGCATTTAAAGCATTTTGGTCTCTTTCGTGCATTTTCTTGTCTGCACACATAATTTTTAAAAGCTCGGTGTTTAAAGACGTTCAATGACGTTACCATTCTTGGCTTTGTTTTTACGAATTGATTATCTAAAATGTGCGATAATAAAAGAGTCATAAATCCTCCAATTTAATTCAAAATTTCGCCAAATAATGCTTCATGAATATTTTAGCGACAGGTAAAATATCAAAAAATCTTTACGTGCTACAACAGTGCAATTTTTGATTTAAAAAATGTGTCTGTAATGTAAAGGTGCAAAAAAGTAACATGCTCCGTCAAGTATTTTTTTATCTAAATAATTTAACTGTATATTTCTAACAGATCATCAGAAAACACCAAATCTTTGCATATTATTTGGAAAATATTTATAGTTGGTATCTGATTTCATGCAAATAATGCACTCGTAATAGAACTTGTCCACAAACTTTTCTAACAACCCTCGTATAATTAACAAAACAAATCAAAGATTTTCATGTAAAGTCGAAAGTGTCAAAGGATATCTAAGGGGCTGGGAGGGAGGGAGAACCAAACATAAACAACCTTATTCACTTTGTAACAAACGACGCATTAAAGGAACATTCCAAAGTTGAAGATTTCTATACCGAGAGCCAAATCGCTCGTGCTCGAAAGAACTCGTTAGACTGTGAACATGGAAGTGAAAGTTTACGAAGATATCTGAAATCAAAAACGTAAAGAAATAAATCAATCAGATATTTATATCTCGTCCCCAACGTGCACTTGATCCATATACTTTATACCAGTACCATCTTTAATTTTCTTGATGCCCTCCTTTATAAAAAAAAAAAAATTCTTGTCCTAAAAAAATAAAATCTGTTCAAACAAATTTACTTTTATAATTCGCTAATTTGTCCAAGCAAATATGCATTTTTTCCAAAAAATTCTGTGTTAAAAAATTCACACATACTTCCTTTTACCGTACAAGTATATTTAATTTTCGAAGGATGAACTTTTTTTGCCCAGAAAAATATCTTGTTCGTTTACAAGAAAAACAAAGTTATCAGAACTATTATTTTTTATTAGAAAAAAATTCGTAGATTTTTCAGAAAATACTAGCATTTTTTTTTCTGGACTTCAGTGGCACTATATATATACTATTGCATTATACTTTTTATCAGTAAAAGCTATGACCTTCATTGATGTTTTTTAAATTTGTAAAAGTTATAAACATTCATAAATTACAATCTTCGTTAGCTTACAAAATCGTTTTATGGCCTACAAATGTCTAAAATGGTGACTTTCACTGAGAATTTTGAATGTCCTGTAACAAAAACATATTTGTTAGTACTCTACCTCTGTTTAAACGTTGATCGTACTCAGAGCATACTCTAGCGTACCGATTAAGTTGGGATACATGAACACCATATACTGTCGATATAAGAAAATTACCACATACTACATGTACGTAATAAATGTAAGAAATTTGAGATGGAAAAGCCGATTCGGAAGTTAATCCGTATTTCATAAAGTATAGTTAAGCTGTTCATTGGCCATAAACATCTATAATCAGAAAGAAATAAATGACAAAGAAAGATGAAAACTAGAATGTCTGCTATAGCAAGGAATTCTACGAAATGGCGTCCATACAAAATGATCTTGTGACGGCAGACTTTCTCACCTACTGCAAGAAAAAAATGGAACTGTTAGTTCAATCGATCGTTGTGTGAAAAAAAAAATTGCCCAACCGTGTCTATGGCAATATTTCCCATTAAAAAAAATATAATAATAATAATAGTAAAAAAAAATGACACATCTTTTGTTGCTGATAATTATTCTGTAAAGTATGAAGGATATTGTCAAAAAAATCTGATAGAACATTCCTGGACGAAGTTTGCCATTTCCATTTGATTCCATGGCAACGATGGTCATTTTGAAAAATAAAACTATTTTATGTTAGAAACAATGTAATTCTGTTCCATCACATTTTAGCTATTTGTTCGCAGAGTATTCGTAAAAAATCCCAAGAAAATTAGACGTTGAAACCGTAACCTTGGCATCATTCACATCTTTTTCACTTTGAATCACTCGTTTGGAATGGAGGGGGGAGGGGTATTTTTCAACGGTGTTAATTTCTTTTAAGTTGCACATGTACATGATGAAAATTGACCTTTGAGTTTCCTTTTCTACAAACTTTAGGATTACAATGTTCTGCGGCTGTGGGGTCGTTTTTCGACGTCAAATAAATAACTCCCTGTCATTTTTCTATGGGGGTAGTTATTTCTGCACCGGATATAGGAGTATGAAAAATGCTACAGTACATACTTAATTCATTTCTTGTAGACAATGGAGTTATACATCTCCATTTTATAACTTATTTCGTCTTTTTCTACAGGTAAATACACGAATATAAATGAGGGTGTGAACTGGTTGACTATAGCAATATCGGTGACTGGGAGCTGTGGAGTCAGTTTTACATTTTGCATGTTTACATATTGTAAACAAAGGTATGCAATCATTATCACTGTATGCATAGTATGCATAAAAGGTCATATCTATGGACCCATTTGATTTCAAGCAAGATGAGCTACAACTTTGATGTCAGAAATTTTTGCTGCAAAATTGTAATTAACTATTTCAATGACAGAAAAAAGAACGTTTATAAACTTCTGTTGTTTATTTATACAATGGAAGAACTATTTATAAGCTTTGATTGAAGCATAATTACATTATTTTCGTCCCGTACAATATTGATTTCTCTGTAATACTATATATTATTTGATTGTACAGAATCCTTTGTGCTGAAACTATTTGATACTTTATTTCTGTTTAATTGATCAAAAAGGTTTAAATTACATACAAATTTATCATAGAAACACATTTTAACAGCAAAATAAAATTCAAAAAAAAAAAAAAAAAAAAAAAAGAAAATGCAGCTCGTATTGCTTTAATCTTATGTCTAATATCAGAAATTTTATTAAGTCGGGAACGCAGCTGCAGACTTGTTAAAATTGTGTAATTGATTTTAACAGAAAACCAATGCCCTTGCGTATGTTCACAATCCCCCAGATTGTGATCATAATGAATTTTATTATTTTTAATGAAACGGCAAAGAGATATCAAGTTAGACGTTTAAATTGTGGATTTCCCTTTATTTGAAATTTTAAAGAACACGGCTTGATAAACTGTCATTGTAAGTAAATAGTAGCAAGTTTAAAGGTTCTTATATAGAATTTTACAGGGTCAAATAAAAACCATAGTGTAACTTGATCTTTTTTCTTTGAATTAATGTTAACATTTAAAATAAGCTCATTTGTCTTAAACAGAATACGTACACCAAGATGTAAAGAATACCAGGGAAAAAAAGGTAATAATGACTGAAATCGATCTTTGATCTGTAAGGAGTTAATTTTCCTAAATAACTGTTAAGTGCAAAGTGCAAGAGCATTTAATTATTGCATTATCTTTATATATATATATATATATATATATATATATATATATATATATATATATATATATATATATATATATATATATATATATATATATATATATATATATATATATATACGTTTTGTTTCTATAAATTCAGCTAAATCAGCCACAAAGGTACAGATAAGCAGCGCAGTTACTGAATGCATACGAGATAGTGAACTAATGGAGAACCGAAATGAACAAATTGCTGCTTGTCATGAATATGTTCATTGTGAGAATTATGGCCGATATAATACCTTAAACTTGAAACCTGAGAAAGACATTGATATTTTGTGATTGCCTGTTCAGGATATCCATGGAAAGACAGGGTTTTACAATTACATGCATACTAGTGTATCAATGTACACTTTTCGTCAATGATTTTTATCCTTAATGTTCATGAGATGAAATCTTTCATCCGGCTTGAAAAGGTCATAGTTTTTACACTGATTTGTGTTCGGATTACACTCTATATTTAAGGCTCACAGAGGGTAAAGCCGGTCGAAATGAAACGGAATGGATATTACTTTATTGAATTATGAGGTCACTCACTGTTCTTTATGATATCTTCACATTTCATTTCAATTCTATTAATTCTTATATATCTGTTCCCTCAAATTAATTGGCTTTCTGTAAATGATTGGTCGATCTTCTTTTTTCTTAAATATACGTAAGTATGAAAATTCCATTTATTTTGGAACAATTTAGATTCCTCAACAGTAATTCTTTCTTGTGTTTTTCTTTGAGTGGTTCATTTCTCATTTTAAGCATATGTAAATATATATATCTTAATTCGCCAGCTCTTACATTTGCATTGACAGAGAATATTTTGAAAGTTTACTTTAAAAAGAAATTGTAAAGAAACATTTTCACAATTGGTGTTAGTATATGCATTAAATTCTTTTTGATTGCTTTTATTTAGGTATTATTTTAGTTACTCTCTTTACAACATGTTGTATTGGTTTTGGTTAAATATTGAATTCTGCTAGAAAACAATGGCGAATTCAGTTTCTAAGTATGCAGTTATCCAACGTCAAATGATTAAAACGAGTTCATCTTAATATTTGATGTCTAATTGACATTACAGTGTCAGGATACTCGTCCAATTTTATAGATACATATGTAATATTTACGTATCTCATTTGTAAATCATAAGATAACGCTTGTTTTGTTTGAATTATAATGAAATACACTACAGTCTTATGTTCATTTGCACTTAAGCAAAGCTTTTAAAGACGTGATTCAATTACCAGGAAACTTTCTGATTTCAATTATTTTAAATGCAGACATCAACAACTGACCTGTACGATACAAACTTATGGAGTGTAATTGGAATAACCAATTTTACATATATAAAAATAAAAGTTATGATAATTTGTTATGCTTTGCAAAATAATTATATCTAGCTTTTCCATAACATCCATAGAATTCCATTGTAAAAAGTCACAGCTATGCTAAGACTTCCAAAACCTTTAAAATATGTTCAAATCATTATATTGTATTTCAAGATTGATTTTAATTTATACGTTACATGTATGTACTCAAGAACAACCAATTTATATAGGGTTCTCTCGGTATTTAAATGTATAAACACAATTGTTATGATAGTACATGTCTTCGTTGATCACATGACTGTCATTTATAATTTAGTAAGTGGTTCACAAAAAATGATTTCGGTGCAGCCGATTTACACAATTATCATTAACTTTTAGTTATATACACAAACTTGTCCTATCCTTGTGTATTAAAATATGCTTGGGAAAAGTGATAGCATTGCATGGATGCAAAATATTTTACGAGAAGTTCCACTTACCGACACATTTGGGATGGGGTAATTTCAGCTCAATATAACAATATGTATTAAAACGAAGCCAGCACACATTTTCCGCAGGCAAGATTTAGCTAGAAAACACACTCCTTTTACTGCCATAAAATATCTCAAATTATTCCTCATTATACGCCTACGATAAAGTCTTTTATACACACATAAATTCTAGCTCTTACCACAGGTATATGTAACAGAGTATATTTCAAAAGTATATTTTTTGTAAGGATTTTTGAATACCCTGAATGTCAATGAAACATGAAGTATTTTAAAAATTTGGACATACAAGATTTAAAAATACAATTAAAAAACGTGCATTCTGCAAGCAGAACTCTACATGCAGTTTGAGATCAGCTGAAAAAATATGACACTCTCCCTGTCATAACAGCTAAAGTTTTCAATGACGGCGTCATTTTCCATCATGACGTCAAATATATGGATAGTTTAGGAACAGAGAACACTGTGGTATTCCATAGGAATCCTTAATCTTCCCGTTTTCCCATGGAACTGTAAAAATAAGATTCCATAGAATTGTTTAGAGTATTGATACTGAGATTTTTTGGACACTGCAGAAATATGTAACTAGCTTTTGAAACAGTGGATCGATTACTGGATGGAAAATTGAGGAAACATTCGGAAATCCAAGGATTTCTGTGGAATTGTGGGTAAAAGGTAATTCCGTGGAAAACAATGGAAAATTGAATACAATGCAATATAGAATTACAAATTCGATATGACATAGAAAGACGTTTCATGCAAACTAATTTTTTTTAAATATATGTTCAGGACATTTACTTAAACATTTATAAGAATGCTTTAAGAAAAAATTCCTTTGAATTTAGTTTTCATTATTATTCATTATTTATTCATTATTATTCATTATTAGAAAAGCTTACTTTTTAATCAGGAAAAGTACATGAAAACAATGCCAAGAAAATCAAATGATAGGTTATATTTGTTAACAAGGTTATTATAACGACCATAGAAAGTACAAAATGCTGACTTTAAACACAGCTGTTGAAATCCCTGTAACATCAATCAACTTATCTGTCAGCAGCCTGCCGCGGTTTAAAAAAAATGATCGTACTTGGAGCATGTTCTTGAGTATAGAATAAGTTGTTAGCACCATATGCATATTAAAACAAATCAAAATTAACAAGAAAATAGAAAATATATATTTTTATATTGTTATAATTAAAGTCAAACATTTTTCTCAAAAAAGTGTGGCACAGAGAAATTTTAATGTTGCACAGAAAAATTTTCTGTAGCATAAAAACAGAATGTGAAGATGTACATAATATAGGACTGTTTAAAAGTCGACATCAGACTGATACGTTAATTAGTTCTACTTTGTTCAAGTTTGGGCACAGTTATAATATTAGAAGAAGAAAAAACGAAATATATTTGTGATAATTTCCGAAAATGTCAGAGATTTAGCTTCAATGAGTATAAAACTTCATGAAGACTGTGCATAGTCAAAGTCAGAGTTTGAAATGTGTGAATTGTGACGGAAGTGAGGCACACAGAGTATTCGAGCGCGACGACCAACTACCTTAATTAAACAATGTTTAAGCAATCCGTTAACTTAAAATGCAAACACTTGTGAATATAATCATTAATCATAAATATGCACCTTTTCATAAAATAACTATCCTTATTAGTGTATATATCTATTTAACTATAGAATGATTATTTTTTTAGCTCATTATTTTGAAAGTCATATTCCGGATAATTAGTTTTATGCGATTAAATGTTACATACGATTCCAGATTTAGTCACATTTTCAACACACATATTTTAGCATTTTACTATTTGTGATAATGGCACATTTTACGTCCTTACATAGAGAAGTATATTTAGATTCAGAACATGAAAATGTCATTCAAAATTACTCCGCTGGTAGATTAAAATATCCTTTTAATACCCCTCCTCCGCGTAAGTTTGCGTGAAATATATGGAGATAATGAACAGTATTCAAGTTCAGGAACAGTGCAATCACATACCTTTAAAACATTTGACTTAATGATAGATTGTAATTGCTGACAAGGTCATTGTATCTACCATAGAACTTACGAAATAATGACTTTAAACGAGACTGTTGATTTTCTTGATTTATCAACCTGTTTATCAATAATCTCGTTTTAGTAATTGTTCATACTTATAGGGCATGCTCTTGCGTATCGAATCAACTGAGAGATACATGTATGAACCCCATATGCAGGTGATAAGGGTATTTTGCTGCATAAGTAAGGGAAGTTGACGATTGAAAAGTTCAAGTCATCACATTTATGGTAAATCTTTTTTGTTAGATTATTATAACGTATTTTTGTAATACATTATCCAAATATGAAACACATGTGTCTGACTCTGTTGTATCTTTTATTTCAAGCTCACTGGGATATTTCGTGAATGGAAATAACTATTGTTACTTGATAATATGTCGTCGATATATCTAAATGTCGAGTTGAAGGCCACGGCAAGAGTTTTCTATTTCTCATACATAAGGTTTTGAATAAATTCTGCTTCTTATGAATACAATTATAGGTCTGTTTATAAGGGGGCGCAGTTGGTACCCATGGAAATTCCAACAGATTGTTGGAAGACCTGGTCTCCAAAAATACATAGATATTGTCAATGAGAAACTCTAGCATCTTTTTAATATCAATTTCAGAGTATTCGTGTGTACAATCAGAATGTTTTTAACAAAGTAATTCTGCAATTGACAAGGTAAGTCAATAAGTCACGAGTTCCATTTTTATTGAAAAAGCAGACGTCAATGATGTCAAAAAGCCTGGAGTCTAATTTATCGTGGGGAATGGTTATATATAGAGTTGAAAAGTCTTACGTTTTGATGTTATTGATTTTTGTAAAATCTTGTGATTTCAAATTTTCCAAACGTTCTTTTGAATTTTTCAGTATCCACATCTGATTTACACTACCTCTCAAATATATTGTTGCACAGTGCAACTGAAGTTCCTCCTTCACTGCTGTTAATATTTCAGTGAGGAGTAAAGAAAGAGGCTTGGTAGAACATTTACTGGAACCCGCTATGTATCTCTGTTTGTAAGAATTTTTATGAATTAAGTTCGGAATCCAATATAAATGTGGTAATTCAAATTCATTTAGGTTGTTGGGAATATTGAAAATATTCAAAATTGAAGATTTTGAAGAATTTCGTCCTTAGAAAGGGAGATATGGGTATAAGTTTGATATCCATTTGTATAACTAGATCTCAGTTCCCCTAAAATACAATTAAACTAATGAGTCTTACAAACAAAGACAATGTTGTTACCTGCTTTGTCAGCTGAGACTAGTACATACTGATCGTGTAATCTATCTAATTCTTTTTTTACTTACGAATTATTGAACACAGAAGAATAGATCGTTTTCATATTGCCCCTCAATCGCTGAATGCGAGATTTTAACATACATCGGATACATTTAATCCACGCAGTCAATGTGTCTAGGTCTTTTTCCATATCTGGCCCATCGCCTGGCGTAATCTTCCACATAATTTATAATATTTATGAAATTATGATTCCAGTTGAAGATCAGGGTTCCCTATATTTTGAGCCTTTTTAGAATAAGAGATTTAAGGTCATCATATTTACAGTACCGACCAGACACAACCTAACAGAAAGCGAACCCAAAGCGCACCCCGGGTTCGCTGCCTGGGTTCGCTTCGGGTTCGCTTGGGGTTCGCTATAGCGGACCCCAAGCGAACCCGGAGCGCACCCCGAGCGAACCCGCAGCGGACCCAGAGCGAACGCCGAAAGCGAACCCCAAATTCAGTAGCGAACCCAGCAAGCGAACGCGCGTTCGGTGTTGCGTAACTGATCTGTCAATCAGGATTAGCGATAAGACGTGTTAACCAATCAGCGCGTCGACCGATCAGCATGCCAGTTTGTCATTCGATGTAAATAAAACATTCTACAAGCAAAGCGTGTTTATGTACAGTGTGAAATTATTATTAACACGATTAAAAAAATATTTATATTTATAAATTAATATCTAGGTAGCATGTTATATTTACACATTTATTTTCTTTATTTTTTATTTTTAAAATCCATCTATTTATATTGCGTAAATTTATCAGACAAAAAGTTCTTTAATGTATAAAAGAAAACAATGGTTATCACAATTGTTACTAAAAAAAAAAAAAGAAAAAAAAAGTATTTTGACAAATTATAACATTTCATTATCTCAAGATACTGTACAAGAGTATGTATATGTACATGTACGTGCTTTCATTCAATTATTTTATTTTTATAATTCTAATTTACATTTTTGTTTAAATCCAGATCAACATCAAAATTATTAATCTTCTTAATTGAAAAAAAGTTAAAAAAAATAAATAAATAAATAAATAAATATATTTAAAAAAAATGAATAAAGAACAGCATAAATGTATATGTACAGTATGTCCAATCGTAAACTGCTATGGTATTATTTTGATTTATCTTTTACAAAAAAAATAATGTAAAGCTTGATTACCTTGTTTTTATTATTATTATTATTATTATTATTATTATTATTATTATTATTATTATTAACTGAAATAAAAAGGAAAAAAACAATGCGCGATTTACATGTACATTATTGAACGAACTAATTATCGGTAGTAAATAAGCAATATAATAAGTCGTACAGTATTGTATTCTTTTAAATAGCGTAACTTTAAATGATAAAGCGTATAGTTAAGATGTTTAACGATTTTTTTTCTCTGATGATGGGTCACGTTAACTGCTTATTGTGGTCATGATATTTTTATATCAATACATCAGAAATGTACATTTTTACAAAAAAATTATTAATTCCCAATACTTACATAAATAATTAGTCGACAAATGTACACGACATGATTGTCGGGGTTACTTTTTATCCCTGATACTTATTATTATTTTAATTTCTGCAGATGAATGAATTTAAAAAAAAAATGCTGATTTTTGAATTCATAAATGGAAAGATGAATATAAGTATTCATTCATTATTTAGGCCACTTTTTAAATTTTTTTTTACCCCCATACTGCATATCATAAAATCCAATAGAATCAAAACTCACAGTCAACCTATATCATATGATAGAACATGCTGCATTCGATCATAAATTACATTTTTACGTATCAAAAAGATAAAAAAAAAAAAATTTAAGTCGGACAATTACATTAATAATTATTTGTAATCTAAAATACCTATTAAATCTTATTTACATGTAGTTTCAAAAATATTTTTTTTTTTTATAATTTTTTCCCCCAATTTTCCAAAGTCGATTAATTGCAGCAGTAAATATTTTTAATCTAAAATATCTATTAATAATTTTTTTTTTTTTTTTTTTAAATATCCACTCCTAAATATTTTTAACTATTTTGTGTAAAACGTGATCGTTCGTGTATGTTGTCAACAATATCATTGCAGCCACTGCACATGCACATGTATCGATCGCCACTAAAACAACAATGATCGATTTCACTGCTGTATTTGGAATAAACAAGGGGCGGAGCTTACTGGCGGCAAGATTAAAGCGGGGTCCGCTTCGCGCGTGAGTGCGTAAAGCGAACCCAGAAAGCGAACGCCGGGTTCGCTCTAGCGGACCCAGAGCTGACCCCGAGCGAACGCAGAGCAAACCCGAAGCGAACCCAGAGCGCACCCAAAATTTCTGAAAGCGGACCCGTAGCGGACCCCGAGCGAACCCAGAAAGCGAACCCGGGGTGCGCTTTGGGTTCGCTCTGGTGTTAGGTTGTGTCCGGTCGGTACTGTACTTCACCAGTAATAACGTGTCCAGCAGGACTATAGTCGTAGGGTAAAGAAGAACAGTTACACGATGGAAGATTATCTTTCAGATGCTCAATATCCAGGCTTTGTAAAGTTTTCTTGTAATTAAAGCAAAAGTCGATGTATATTTATAGGAAATACAGGGTGTAGTCTTCAATTTGAATTATGGTGGAATACAAGACTGGACCCTTTTGTGATTAGGAATATTACTTACATTAACTGTGTCAATTTCTTTGTTGGCATATTGAAACTTAAGGAAAAAACGGGTTGTTTTATTTGTATTTAATTCCGTATAATTTCCTTATTTTCAGGTACAGTTTCTTTCTTATTTGATGTACATAAAGCAAAATTTTATTGCAGAAAATATTTTCCACACATAGGAAAACAACTATACACTTTTACGCATTCAGTCTTTAATTTCTTGGAATATTTGAAAAAATATAAGCATGATAAAAACGTTTTGAAGGATAACAGGATAGGCTTAGAAACAATCCTTCACCCCTTTCTGTGCTTATATTTGTGCTTTAATTTCAATTTGAATTCCTGACATTATATTTTAAAACTTATTTTCGATAATGCGGCTTGAAGATAGTATGGATTACTATTTTAATCTGCTTTTGTTATCAATTTTAATAATTCATCATTTATACTGAAAACAAGAGCAGTTTGTGTACAAAAATCAAACAGATAACAAAATAAAAATAATGTATCATTTAATCTTATCGTTCTGTTGAATGTTCAGAAAAAAAAAAACAATCGTTTTTAAATTTCATAGGGTTACCCGCTATTGATTAATATGGTCTAGCTATTATTTTATAAGATATGTATTAGCGTGTGTCCTCGAAAGTATTACAAAACAAAAGTAATAGTTTTTGTATCATACTACAATTCTCATCATGTGTACCGGTCTGAAGACAGATAGGTATCAATAATTGTGGAACAATTTATAAGTATTTTGAATCAAATGTAAATTAATAAGTGTTTAAGTTAACGTTCAGACACTTGAACAAGCAACAAAAAGTCAATGATGCATATCAAATGAATTGTTATAGATTCCGTGATAAAAATTAATTGCATACAACATAACTCTGTCCCAATAAACAGCAGGGCTATCCAAGATAATTTTTGTTTTGCTAAATACGACATACATCACTAATGTGAATATGCACTCCACCATAATTGTAGCAGTAGCTCTATACATGTACTTTCAAAAATGTCAACCGTGACCTGTTCCATACTGAAGTAAAAGAGCTTGGTCTTACGTAATAGATTCAAACTTCAGTATCTCAAATATCTATCGATATCTCGCAAACCACAGAATTGTTGAACTTTTTTGGAATTTTATACCACTTTTTAAAAATTAAGTATATATTTTAACGTAGCTACGGATAGCGATCACGTGACATTACATGTGAATTCTATATTAAGAATTTTTCGGTCCGCTTATTCCGGAAATGCGCCTATTTCAATATGGCGGACTGCAGTTGTAAACAATGTGCTCTGAGAAAAGTTCACGGGTGTAGTTACAGGAAAGCTCAGCAGTAAAGGTAGATCAAGTTAATTAGAGCGAATGAGAGATAGAACATGTCAACAAACAGGACAGCAATTATAAATCTTTTTTTATGAAATGGAATATTCGTATACACATGTCGCAAACGACTTACACCCCTATTCCAACGCAGACGACACGGCTGATGTAGATCATATAATGACATCAAATGGAACGAAGACTTGTTGAGCTGGAGAACTTGGCAGTCCAGTTTATATGCTTACAGCCACAAGATGAAGGCATTCATTTGCATTTTTACAACGCTGTTGACTCGGTACTTTATTGTATCAATACATTGGGCCTAAAATGCCCTAAATCAATGTGACTGATGATTCTGTACTGTTTGTGGATTTACCAACACCTTTTTCACGGGAAAGGAATACGACAGAGAGGCCTATGATATCAACTCAGAAGTAGCTCTTGGTAAGTCAAATAAATATCAACATAATGTACATTCCATTTCAAACTTCTGTCATAATTGTAATTCAGCTTAGTAAACTCATAGACTTGGTCAAGTCTCTATGTTTTTTTAATCAAATAATTCTTTGTTCATTTTTGTCTTGTTGTCCTCTGCTCTCCCTCATAGTTAAATGTTATCAAACATGTTTGACATTATCAAAAAGTATGAAAGAGTGAAACAGAGCACTAAACAGGGGAGTCGGCAAGTATTTGGCATTGGGGAGGCAAACTGTATCGAACAGGGGGGGGGGGGGGGGGACCTCCGCTTCATTGATTGGCGCTCCATTGACCACATATATTGCCATTACACATTTTGTATTTCTCATTTAAAATTTATTTTTCTTTCTTTTTCTTTTGCAAAATTATTGGGGCGGCGAACGCCGCCCCTGCCGCCCCTTTGCTGACGCCCCTGCTAAAACATGGAGACTTGAGCAAGTCTAGTAAACTCAGTGCATGTAAGGAACTGCCATTTGATTTGGGGGGTGGGGTGGGGTGGATTATGGGTGTTAGATTTTTTATTAACATGCCACTGAAGGACAGATTATTTATTTTTATTTCCAAGATGATTGGGGACAGATTTTTTTTTTCAACACTGGAAAAAGTTTGACGAGGTGGTACGTATTGAAACTGTTTGCATGTTGTTTGCTGGTCTGATAAAATTCAATTCTTTATTTTACTACTGCTGCATAGTTAGAATATTGGTCAGGCAGCATGGACATTTCTCTTGATAAGTCCAGTTTTTGTGTAAGATTTTCTGGTTAAAAACCGATTTTCTAGTCAACCATAATTAAATTTTGTTTATGTCGGTATATATTTATTTGGTCTATTTTTTTTTCAGCCAACTTGATGGTACATTCTGGTATGGGACCATCCCATGTAGTAAATTTTCTCAGCACCTTTAACACTGCACCTATGGTGTCACACCACATTGAACATACGTTGAAGAAAAAGAGATGTCAGCCTCTATTGTGCAACCAGGCCAAGCAATCTTGTTGGATATCTAGAGACGAAGAATGCTAAACCGGACCAGTTGGAATGTAGTTTTGATGCTGGATAGCAGACCAAGGGGTCTTGCTGTTAGTATAATAGTGATACTGGTAAAAGTCATCATTTGAATTTTGTTATGTCAAATTTGATAAGCACAGAAAATTGGCAATTTATGGAGTGTAAACTTCTGCAAGTTATAAATGTATACATACATGTTCACTGAAATTCTATATATAGGATAAAGATTTTGGGGAATATATTTTGATGTGGACTCCAGATAATAATGTTATATTTTATATTTCAGATAATTTTAACAAGTAAGGTGTATAAGATATATGAATGTGAGGTCCAGACCATTCATGCTGATAATGATTCAACTACTGCAGCTCGACTAAAGAATGACTTTCCATCTCTTCCAAAAAAAGCAGGACAAGGATCACTTGATGAAACTGAACTAACATGTACTACTTTTCTTGTCAATTTCATATTATCTCTTGTTTGAGAGTTACATCTGAATTGGTAACAGACCATTCCACATACAGACTTTTATTCATTTTAGCTCACCTGAGCTGAAAGCTCAAGTGAGCTTTTTCTGATCACATTTTGTCTGTAGTCCATCTGGCCGTCTAGCTGTCCGCCCGTCTGTCTGTCTGTAAACTTTTTACATTTTCGACTTCTTCTCCAGAACCACTGGGCCAATTTCAACCAAACTTACCACAAAGCATTCTTGGGTGAAGGGGATTCAAGTTTTCTCAAATGAAGAGCCACGCCCTCGTTCAAGGGGAGATAATTAAGAATTATTGAAAAATGAATAGCATCTTTAAAAATCTTCTTCTCAAGAACCACAAGGCCAGGAAAGATGAAACTCATGTGGAATCATCCTCAGGTAGTGTAGATTCAAGTTTGTTCAAATAATGACCCCTGGAATAGGGAGGAGCCACAATGAGGGATCAAATTTTTACAAAGGAATATATGGAAATTTTTTTAAAAAAATCTTCTCATGTACAACAAAGCCATTTGTTATATTGACATGGAAGTAGTTTAAAATTCCCCCCCCCCCCCCAATCTTTTCAATACTGAACTGATTTGTGCTTTTGCCTAGCCAATGTGCTTAGGTGAGCAATGTGGCCCATGGGCCTTTTGTTCATGTATAATCTACTCTGTGAATGTTATGGCTGGTGTGGTTATAGACTGCTCCACGTGTAGACTTTTTTTAATTTTTCATGTATAATGTGCTATCTGAGTGTTACATGTATGTCAGATGTGCCAATAGGCTGCTGCAGACTATTCTTTTTCAAAAAAAATATGCATAATCTACTGTGCAAGTGTTATGTTGGGTTTGATAATAGGCCGCTCAACAATAGATTATTCTTTATTATGCATAATCTACTATGTGAGTGAGTGTCATGTTCGTTAATCAGCTGCTCCACATATTCATGTAGACTCTTCATTTTCATTTAACATATAAAATGTCCTGCATGAAGTTTTAAGTCAAGTGCAGTAATGGGCTGTTCTTATATTGTCATTTTGTTTTTAATTTTTATATATAATTTATGTATGTCTCAGGTCAAGGTCCCTGTTACAATATATTTTCGTTAGACTAATGGTATTATTCTACCTGCTCGAATATGTTTGATTGAATGAAATTACTTTTGTTCAATTTGAAAGATTGCTGATCATATTTTTTCAATGATATTCTTTTTTTATTCTATGCAAAAGAATTATGTGTATTGTGCTATGTCAAATGTATTTTTTTTTCTCAGTATGCATGGCCAAGATGTTTTTCCAACAAAGGAAGGTGCATATATTTGACATGTTAATACATGCACTTAGGGTGTTTTTGACAATGCAATAAAAAAGAAAAGAAAAATTAAATGCATATTATATGAGTGTTTTAAGTTCATTATAATGGTCATATTTGTTTGATTGGGAGAAGTGAAATACTTTTATTCATTCCCAGTTCTATTCAAGTGGAATATAATTTAAAATTGACATAAAATAAGGTTTTTGTAGTACCAATTAAATATCTTATTGAGTCACATTCTTGTTTTGAATTTTTTAGAACCACACCAAATTTGATTCTTATTTTCAATTCTGGAAAATGGGAGGGGTGGGGGGGGAGGGGTGGGGGGGGTGACCATTTGGTACCTTTAGTTAATTAGCCCTCAATGTGGCAAGATTTTTGAGTTGGGAAAAGTATTGGACACATTTTTCACATAATAACATTATCTAAAAAGTCTATTGGAACAGATTTTTTTTTTTAGATTTTATATTAGAAAATATAGAATTTGTTCGCATGAAAGTAATGAAAATTGTTAAGGTTGAAGAGTTTTTGTATGTGTTTTCTTATAAAATTATATTTCCATTCAAGTAATCTATTTTTGAAATATTAATTTATACATTAATTTTGTTTAGGAATAATTTTAAAAATAAAGCACATATCTAACAATTAATTTTTTATGGATTATTTCAATATTGGATAAACTATGAGTTTTATAGTGAGGCGAGAGGGGAGGTAACTCATCATGTCATTACTCTATGATTTCTCCTAATGTCATATAAATATTTTCATTAATGATTTATTAGTAATTGTTTTGGACATGTACTTCTTATTTATTTCTTCAATTGTTTTTTTTTCTAATTTACTTTGCAATTTTTTTTGATAGCACTTCAATCATTATTCTTATTTTCATGACGGGAAAACAAAGGGGGGGGGGGTTAGTTGTGGACCATTTGGTACCTTTATTAGCCCTCAATGTGACCAAGATTTTTTGAGTGAAGAATGGTAGTGGACAAGTCTTTCATATTATGATAAAAAATAAAAATTCTATTGGACAGAATTTTTTTTAGAATTTAAAAAGTGTGAAATTTGTGTGCATGAAAATAGTCAAATTTGTTGAATTTAAAACGTTTCATAAGCACTATTCTCTTAATTTATCTCTGTTCAGACAATCCATTGTTAAAATAAGTTTATAGTATCAAAATTGTTTAAAAATAATTTTAAAATATTGAATGCATATTGCATAATAAATTTTTTATGGGTAATATATATGTTGTATTATGATTTTTGGAGTGACTGGAAAGGGGAGGTAACTCATTACCCCCTGGTTCCATAATTTACCCTCAATGCCATGTTCATATTTCCACTAAATGTTCATTACAAATTCCTTTGCACCATGTGAAAATTTCAGTAAAATCTAATGGGAGGTTTTTTTGGGGTCAGGTGTCCTTAGCTACCTTAAGTTTTTGAGGTTAACTGATCCATTCCTGTTTTATATTTTTTCCCTCGGAAAATGGCAAGATTATAGGATGTCATATATATATTTCAATGCTGCAATATATATTAATTCATCTTTAAAGGAAGATGTGTTTTCTATAATTGATTGATTTGAGGTGATTCTGTCTTCATTATTCACTTAGAAATGTCCATCACATATTATTTTTACACTGCGTTTCTTAAGGTTATTCTGAGAGTACATCTTCTGTTTTGAAATCTGGCCATGATTTTGCCCATCCTGAATTTAAAGCATAAATAGACATTATTTCCTCAGTCCATTTTGGTATATACCGTAAAGCGTGTTATTTTAGCGGGGTGCTTATTTTGGCTTATTTTAGCATTTTGGTAGTAGCCCGCTATAATTTTAATAGCCAAAATTATCAATATTCTTTCTAGTTTTCTTTTGCAACGTGTAAAAACCATGTGTCCGCTTAAATAGACTACGCCAAAATTATTGGCATACCTTTCAGCAACCAAACCGCCAAATTTTACACCCGCCAAGAAAACCCGCTATACGATATTGTCATCGAGAAAAATCTTTTAAAGTTTATACAAAAGTCATGTTACATATGTCCTAGCACTAGATGCAGTATAATATACCTTTGTTTCCTCTGACTTTTTTTCCCTTGTTTTGGAATAGCTAGTCCTTTGTGTCAAGTCCTAAGTAAGATAAGGAACCTTTAATTTGTTTGTTGACTCACAACAAAAAAAAAGGTTAATTATAGCCGTACATATGAATAGCATACATAGCAATCATACCTTTTGTCCTCTGCGTCTCATGATTGCTGAAAAGGTGTAGATAATTGGATTTAATGCTGAATTTACAGGGAGAACTACAACAATGACCCAGGCATACACTTTAGCTGTGACGTCGATACCGAAAAAAGTTAGAAGACCTGCAAATCATAAATGTGAAATAGTAGACACATAATACATGTATATTTACATTGTGGACAGTCTAAACAGTTTTTTATAGGTTGTTTTACCTATAAATCCTCTATTTTCGCAAAACAAAGAAGACTTTTACTTTATTGATGTGTTTCTTATTATTATCTAATAAACTTCATACTTACCAATTACCCCAATGGGAATCCAGCAAAACATATCTGTAACTGCCACCATTATTAAAGTTTTAGCCAAACTGATTTCCTTCTTCTTTTGCGAAGTGCATTGTGAGCTCAATTCTTTTCTCATTCGAACAACATCAGTAAAAATAACAAATTGCCCCACTAGTATTGCAATGAAAATAAGGAAATTAGCGCCGACGAAGATCACCATAGAGTATTCCCATCCGGGTTTACGTAGAACAGATAGAGGTAAGGAAATACATATACCGGGACTAGAATAAAAGTCATTAAAATACGTATTTCCAAATAAAGGCAACAGGGAGAGCAGAAGAGACATTATCCAAACTACATGTAAAAGACAAACTAATTTTGCATCCAGTCGATTTTTTTTCAAATTTTGAGAAAGGGAATCGAATAATTACAATTCGGTCGATTGTAATTGTAAGGACAAACAGCGCAGATGCCTCACTAGAAGTAGTAGCCAATACACCAGCAAAAGTACATAAAGGAATCTGTCTCCATGATTCATCTTCAAAACCATATCGACCACTAAATATTAAATTAGCAATAGCTATTATATAAAGATACACACCCATTAAAAAGTTTGCTAATCCAAGGTTCATAAATGACAAACGATGCTATCTTTTTTCCTTTAATACAAAAAGTCTAAAAAGTAACCCTAAAAAGTTTCCGAACAGAGATAAAAGGGCTATGTACCAAATCATGATGCTAAGCAGTCGAGTGTCTATTAAATTATAGCAAGAAGATATTTCATTTACAGGTGCTGAACAATGTATTTTGCTCAAAGCCTTTGATTGGGCACAGCAGAGCGTGTAGGAATCCACTTGAAGATACTCAATGTTCATAAGGCCGTCAAACATTCCTTCTACAATTTTGATTTCATTGTTTTGTAAATAGAGATATTTTAAATTTGAGAGGAATAGAAAATGGTTCCGTGTTAGTAAACGAGGATTATTATTTGACAAATCTAGATGCATGAGTTTTGAAATGACTGAAAGGGCATTTTCGTGAATTCTTATGATACGATTATTACGAATATTTAAATGTAAAACATTGGGCAAATCTATGAA